AGTGAATTAGTGTGTTGAGTGAATTGGTGTGTTGAGTGAATTAGTGTGTTGAGTGAATTAGTGTGTTGAGTGAATTGGTGTGTTGAGTGAATTAGTGTTGCTATAGACCATACTGGCACACCATCATATTGGCCTATCATATGTTTAAAAGTCGTGGGACCTGAGGATGGGATATTGTGCCCCTCCCCCCCCCCATCTGACGTCACACATGACTGGCCTATCATATGTTTAGAAGTCGTGCGACCTGAGGATGGGATATTGTGCCCCTCCCCCCCCCCCCCCACCCCACCCATCTGACGTCACACATGACTGGCCTATCATATGTTTAAAAGTCGTGGGACCTGAGGATGGGATATTATGCCCCCCCCCCACCCATCTGACGTCACACATCTTGACAACATCTCAACTATGCGTACACCAAGCTGTTCACCATCCAGTAATTAAAATAATTAGGCTCTGAGCTAAGAAATGGATCGACCGATATTTGTCTTTGATTCTCATTACAAATGTAGGTCAACTGTATGCAGCACACCTTTAATCTAGCGCCCCCCCCCCCTCCCCCGCTCATCAGATGAAAATAAAAACATTTCACCGCCCCGTGTAGATGGGCTTAGCTTGCCTAACGCTGTTTCAACGTTTCCTTTCTGTTTGCTTCTTGCAGTTTTCACCACTTGGTTTCTCCTGTGTCGCAAAAGTTAGGGTTAACCCGCCGTGTGGCACAATTTAGGGTTAACCTGCCGTGTGGCACAAGTTAGGGTTAACCTGCCGTGTGGCACAAGTTAGGGTTAACCTGCCGTGTGGCACAAGTTAGGGTTAACCTGCACAAGTTATGGTTAACCTGCCGTGTGGCACAAGTTAGGGTTAACCTGCCGTGTGGCACAAGTTAGGGTTAACCTGCCGTGTGGCACAAGTTAGGGTTAACCTGCACAAGTTATGGTTAACCTGCCGTGTGGCACAAGTTAGGGTTAACCTGCCGTGTGGCACAAGTTAGGGTTAACCTGCCGTGTGGCACAAGTAAGGGTTAACCTGCACAAGTTAGGGTTAACCTGCCGTGTGGCACAAGTTAGGGTTAACCTGCCGTGTGGCACAAGTTAGGGTTAACCTGCCGTGTGGCACAAGTTAGGGTTAACCTGCCGTGTGGCAAAAGTTAGGGTTAACCTGCCGTGTGGCACAAGTTAGGGTTAACCTGCCGTGTGGCACAAGTTAGGGTTAACCTGCACAAGTTAGGGTTAACCTGCCGTGTGGCACAAGTTAGGGTTAACCTGTCGTGTGGCACAAGTTATGGTTAACCTGCCGTGTGGCACAAGTTAGGGTTAGCCTGCCGTTCGGCAAAAGTTAGGGTTAACCTGCCGTGTGGCACAAGTTAGGGTTAACCTGCCGTGTGGCACAAGTTAGGGTTAACCTGCACAAGTTAGGGTTAACCTGCCGTGTGGCACAAGTTAGGGTTAACCTGTCGTGTGGCACAAGTTATGGTTAACCTGCCGTGTGGCACAAGTTAGGGTTAGCCTGCCGTTCGGCAAAAGTTAGGGTTAACCTGCCGTGTAGCACAAGTTAGGGTTAACCTGCCGTGTGGCACAAGTTAGGGTTAACCTGCCGTGTTGCAAAAGTTAGGGTTAACCTGCCGTGTGTAGGGTTAACCTGCCGTGTGGCAAAAGTTAGGGTTAACCTGCCGTGTGGCAAAAGTTAGGGTTAACCTGCCGTGTGGCAAAAGTTAGGGTTAACCTGCCGTGTGTAGGGTTAACCTGCCGTGAGGCAAAAGTTAGGGTTAACCTGCCGTGTGGCAAAAGTTAGGGTTAACCTGCCGTGTGGCAAAAGTTAGGGTTAGCCTACTTTAGCCTCCCGTGTAGGAGGTAAACTGTAGCAGTCCCACTAATGACTAAATGAATGGCCCTACAGGTGAAGCTCTTGTTTACACCCCCCCCCCCCTAGCCCCACTGATGACTAAATGAATGGCCCTACAGGTGAAGCTCTTGTTTACCCCCCCCCCCACGGTCTTAAAGTACACACACTACCTGAAACACGGTCCTTTAGAACTTTCTAGAACCGCAGCAAACAGTCTGGCACCGAGCCACTGATTGATGCTCCAGTTTGCTGTGACCCATTTACCAGATTACTTTTTAATTACTGGCGCAGCTTTCTCTAGATACCTGCAGATTCTTGGAGATACCTAGAGATATCTGGAGATACCTAGAGATATCTGGAGATACCTAGAGATATCTGGAGATACCTAGAGATATATGGAGATACCTAGAGATATCTGGAGATACCTGCAGATTCTTGGAGATACCTAGAGATATCTGGAGATACCTGCAGATATCTGGAGATACCTGCAGATTCCCTCTACTTTAAAGTACTTCCTCCAAGGTACTCCCTCTACTTTAAAGTACTTCCTCCAAGGTACTCCCTCTACTTTAAAGTACTTCCTACACTGTAAAGTATACCCAGCACAGTGCTAACACAACAAATTTAAACATCCATTTTATCGACGGGTTGAAATGTAAAAAAAAACGATGACAGTAGAAAAAAAGATATATGTTGTCAGAAAATAGTCGTTTTGTGATATTTGTCTACCCCGTACTTTTTAGTCGATGTAAAATACCCACTTTATGGACAAACGTTTTGTGTGTTGTTGGTGGCACATCAACATCTTTGTCCTACAATAGACGTCACACCAACATCTTTGTCCTACAATAGACGTCACACCAACACCTTTGTCCTACAATAGACGTCACACCGACACCTTTGTCCTACAATAGACGTCACACCAACACCTTTGTCCTACAATAGACGTCACACCAACATCTTTGTCCTACAAAAGACGTCACACCAACACCTTTGTCCTACAATAGACGTCACACCAACATCTTTGTCCTACAATAGACGTCACACCAACATCTTTGTCCTACAATAGACGTCACACCAACACCTTTGTCCTACAATAGACGTCACACCAACATCTTTGTCATACAAAAGACGTCACACCAACACCTTTGTCCTACAATAGACGTCACACCAACATCTTTGTCATACAATAGACGTCACACCAACACCTTTGTCCTACAATAGACGTCACACCAACATCTTTGTCCTACAAAAGACGTCACACCAACACCTTTGTCCTACAATAGACGTCACACCAACATCTTTGTCCTACAATAGACGTCACACCAACATCTTTGTCCTACAATATACGTCACACCAACATCTTTGTCCTACAATAGACGTCACACCAACATCTTTGTCCTACAATAGACGTCACACCAACATCTTTGTCCTACAATAGACGTCACACAAACACCTTTGTCCTACAATAGACGTCACACCAACATCTTTGTCCTACAAAAGACGTCACACCAACACCTTTGTCCTACAATAGACGTCACACCAACACCTTTGTCCTACAATAGACGTCACACCAACATCTTTGTCCTACAATAGACGTCACACCAACACCTCTGTTCTACAATAGACGTCACACCAACATCTTTGTCCTACAAAAGACGTCACACCAACACTTTTGTCCTACAATAGACGTCACACCAACATCTTTGTCCTACAATAGACGTCACACCAACATCTTTGTCCTACAATATACGTCACACCAACATCTTTGTCCTACAATAGACGTCACACCAACATCTTTGTCCTACAATATACGTCACACCAACATCTTTGTCCTACAATAGACGTCACATCAACATCTTTGTCCTACAATACACGTCACACCAACATCTTTGTCCTACAATATACGTCACACCAACATCTTTGTCCTACAATACACGTCACACCAACATCTTTATCCAACAAGAGACGTCACACCAACATCTTTGTCCTACAATATACGTCACACCAACATCTTTGTCCTACAATACACGTCACACCAACATCTTTGTCCTACAATATACGTCACACCAACATCTTTGTCCTACAATACACGTCACACCAACATCTTTATCCAACAAGAGACGTCACACCAACATCTTTGTCCTACAATATACGTCACACCAACATCTTTGTCCTACAATATACGTCACACCAACATCTTTGTCCTACAATACACGTCACACCAACATCTTTGTCCAACAATAGACGTCACATCAACACCTTTGTCCTACAAGAGACGTCACATCAACACCTTTGTCCTACAATAGACGTCACACCAACATCTTTGTCCTACAATAGACGTCACATCAACACCTTTGTCCTACAATAGACGTCACATCAACATCTTTGTCCTACAATAGACGTCACACCAACACCTTTGTCCTACAATAGACGTCACATCAACATCTTTGTCCTACAATAGACGTCACACCAACACCTTTGTCCAACAAGAGACGTCACATCAACACCCTTGTCCTACAATAGACGTCACACCAACACCTTTGTCCTACAATAGACGTCACACCAACATCTTTGTCCTACAATATACGTCACACCAACATCTTTGTCCTACAATAGACGTCACATCAACATCTTTGTCCTACAATAGACGTCACATCAACATCTTTGTCCTACAATAGACGTCACACCAACACCTTTGTCCAACAAGAGACGTCACATCAACACCTGTGTCCTATAATAGACGTCACACCAACACCTTTGTCCTACAATAGACGTCACATCAACATCTTTGTCCTACAATAGACGTCACACCAACATCTTTGTCCTACAATAGACGTCACACCAACACCTTTGTCCTACAAGAGACGTCACATCAACATCTTTGCCAAAAGAGGGCACGGACAACATCTGTTTGAGACTTCCGGTCCCCAAAGATCGATGTCTGCATGACGTCATGGTCGATCGATTTTCTTTGAAGCAGCCAGCATCCCAAGTCCGGCAGGATTAGGAGTGGACCTACAGGACAAGGGGGGACAAGAGAAGGACTTAGGGAGGACATGGGGAGGACATGGGGAGGACATGGGGAGGACATGGGGAGGACATGGGGAGGACATGGGGAGGACATGGGGAGGACATGGGGAGGACATGGGGAGGACATGGGGAGGACATGGGGAGGACTTGGGGGACAAGGGGAGGACGGGGAGGACATGGGGAGGACATGGAGAGGACGGGGAGGACATGGGGAGGACTTGGGGAGGACTTGGGGGACAAGGGGAGGACTTGGGGAGGACAAGAGAAGGACATGGGGAGGACATGGGGGACATGGGGAGGACGGGGAACATGGGGAGGACATGGAGAGGACGGGGAGGACATGGGGAGGACTTGGGGAGTACTTGGGGGACAAGGGGAGGACTTGGGGAGGACAAAAGAAGGACATGGGGAGGACAAGAGAAGGACTTGGGGAGGACAAGAGAAGGACTTGGGAGGACAAGAGAAGGACATGGGGAGGACATGGGGGACATGGGGAGGACGGGGAGGACATGGGGAGGACATGGAGAGGACATGGGGAGGACAAGAGAAGGACATGGGGAGGACATGGAGAAGACAAGGATGAGGAGGACAAGAGAAGGACTTGGGGAGGACAAGAGAAGGACTTGGGGAGGACAAGAGAAAGACTTGGGGAGGACATGGGGAGGACAAGAGAAGGACTTGCAGAGGACAAGAGGAGGACAAGGGCAGGACAAAAGAAGGAGGAGAAAGGGGGGGATAAGGTTCAGTGGTTGCCATTCAAGCTCCTACTCTCGTGCGTCCAGATTTGGCGCCACATGCTAAAATTAGCATCAGCGTCACGTGCCCTGCTGACGTCAAACCTTGATTAGAACACAACCTGTCGCCACATCATTCAATCAATTCCGTCATCGATTCAAATAGTTCACATTCAAACAAACTTTCTCAACACCCCCACCCCCAATCGTTGGCAATAATTCCCCACCCCAATTATTTCTCAATACTACCCCCCATCCGCAGTGCTCTATATTTAGTTTACCTTACCCCTTCCCCGTTTTTTATTCTAATATCCCCCCCCCCCCCTCCCGTTCGTTTTTTTTATCACTGTTTGTTAGTGTCTCGCTTGGATAGTTTACATTGTAGCAAGTGAGTAGGACAACACACTAGAAAGTAACACTAAGTGGGGCTACACACTACACACTAGAATGTAGCTCATGAGTTAAGCTACATACAACAAAGAAGCACTAGGGCTACACACTACACACTAGAATGTAGCACGTGAGTAAAGCTACACACAACAGCGTGGCAGATCTACACGTGTAGCTGACATGTTGGTCTACACAGGTTAACACGTAATCACGTAACTCGCTGATACACAGTAAGAAAACACATTGAATATTACACACTGAATACTACACACTGATACTTCACAATGAATAGTACACATTGAATACTACACACTGAATACAATAAATCCACAGGTTCAGATGAAATATTTGTCGGTTTTTTTTTTTTTTTTTTTTTTTTTTTGCATTTTCCAGTGCTTTTTTTTTTACGAGGCGGGTTAGATAGCTCCCGGCTCAAGACTGTCAGTTATTCGGCACTAGTTTAGACTTTGTGTAAATTGTAAATTGTTGTAACTTGTTGTAACTTTCTGTTCATTGCACATTTCTGTATAGTCTTAGTAAAAAAAAAAAGACAGTTGCAATTGATTACGTAATTTTGAGGAGTAGGTCAAAATAATTGATGTCATATACGGCCGACTCCCCACACATAAACATTTCATATTTAAACACCAAACTTTCAGTTCACTGCTCACCAGTTTATACTTGAAAGTTGGACGCTTAACAATTGATGAATGGCGTACACAAATATGCCTACGAGTATGCCGGTATTTAATAAAACTGTTATGGCAACCTCACGATAGGATGTTTTTTGGCGAATAAATTATTCTGACACAACAATCTGCTCGATGATATTATTATTACCGCTTGCCTGTTTATTATCAGACGTCAAAAAATGAGGTCGGGATTAGTTAAGAAAACGCCAGGCAAACGGACTGCATTTTGGTCTAAATCTAGATCTAGGATCAATATTCCTTATTTCTGCTGAATGTGGACAAAGTTTCTTTTTGTACAAAAATCCTTTTCACGTTGAGATGATTGCCAATTTACTTAAAGAATATGTTTGGTCAAAAGATGACACGTAGCCTACTAAAATCAAATCACAGTGCAAGTTTTAAATGTGTTCACGAGGACAGTGAAACTACACGCCGTGTAGCGCCTAGACAGAGTAGGACGACATTTTTAACAAGTTGACCAAGTTCCCCTTTGACCTAGCCTCATTTTCTTCCAGTCTAAAAATAGATCTGACGCTACGGACATTCGACTGAACAAATGGTTGTCATTCCCAGAGAGGCTTTTCTCATCCAGAGAGAGGCTTTTCTCATCCAGAGAGAGAGGCTTTTCTCATCCAGAGAGAGAGGCTTTTCTCATCCACAGAGAGGGGCTTTTCTCATCCACAGAGAGAGGCTTTTCTCAACCAAGGAGAGACTTCTCATCCACAGAGAGAGGCTTTTCTCATCCACAGAGAGAGGCTTTTCTCAACCAAGGAGAGACTTCTCATCCACCGAGAGAGGCTTATCTCATCCACAGAGAGAGGCATTTCTCATCCAGAGAGAGGCTTTCCTCATCCAGAGAGAGAGGCTTTTCTCATCCAGAGAGAGGCTTTCCTCATCCAGAGAGAGGCTTTTCTCATCCAGAGAGAGGCTTTTCTCAACCAAGGAGAGACTTCTCATCCACCGAGAGAGGCTTATCTCATCCACAGAGAGAGGCATTTCTCATCCAGAGAGAGGCTTTCCTCATCCAGAGAGAGGCTTTTCTCATCCAGAGAGAGGCTTTTCTCATCCAGAGAGAGGCTTTTCTCAACCAAGGAGAGACTTCTCATCCACCGAGAGAGGCTTATCTCATCCACAGAGAGAGGCTTTTCTCATCCAGAGAGAGGTTTTTCTCATCCAGAGAGAAAGGCTTTTCTCATCCAGAGAGAGGCTTTTCTCAACCAAGGAGAGACTTCTCATCCACCGAGAGAGGCTTTTCTCATCCACAGAGAGAGGCTTTTCTCAACCAAGGAGAGACTTCTCATTCACTGAGAGAGGAGGGTTCGGCGTGGTCGAGTCGGTATAGCTCATGGTTGCTAAACCGAAAAGTCTCGAGTTCGAACCCTCGGGCAGATGAGGCTCGTTAGCTGGGGACAGCCACTCTTCTAGGAGAGACAACTCCAAAATTAAACAACTACTGCCTTGTAGTTTGTTCTTGGTTGGACAAAGGCTATGGAAGCAAATCCAAAAAGAAAAGCAGGCTGAAATCGGAGTCAATGGCCTCAATGGCGCATAACCAGTTGACACGTAACGCTTAATTGTGTTGGAGGCGTGGTCGAGTCGGCAAAAAGCTCATGGTTGATAAATTCGAACAAAGTCTCGAGTTCAAACCCACTGGCAGATAAATCTCGATCCCCTTCAACACTAATAATTAAGAACGAAGAAGAAGAAGAAGAAGACTGAGAGAGGCTTTTCTCATCCAGAGAGAGGCTTTTCTCAACCAAGGAGAGATTTTTCTCAACCAAGGAGAGATTTTTCTCAACCACAGCAGAGAGGCTTTTCTCATCTACAGAGAGAGGCTTTTCTCATCCACAGAGAGAGGCTTTTCTCAACAAAGGAGAGACTTTTCTCATGAACCGAGAGGGGCTTTTCTCATCCAAAGAGAGAGAGAGGCTTTTCTCATCCACGGAGAGAGGCTTTTCTCAACAAAGGATAGAGGCTTTTCTAAGCCACAGAAAGGCTTTTCTCATCCACAGAGAGAGGTTTTTCTCATCCACAGAGAGGCTTTTCTCAACCAGAGAGTCCAACACTCGGGTTTCTAGACCAACTTCTAATCCAACACTTGGGGTTCTAGGTTCTATAACGGACAGCACAAATGACACTAGACACCTAAATCTGATCGCAGGCTCAATTTGTGGAGACAAGAAGTCATGAGTGTCGAACAATCGCCTGACTACAGGGTTCATGGCCCACAGGACTGACTACACGTGTAAACAAAAGCCTGGCCACAGAAAACGGCTCAAGGACACACTGGGGTCAGTGAACTGAAACCTAATTAATTTAAATTAACCGGTTTTGATCAGATCTAACTTGATGCAAGCCATGCATGACACACGCCTACACAAGTCACGAAACACCCCCACGGTCGTATTAATTATTAACGATTTCTCATGGGCCAGCTGCTCCACACTAAGTGCAACAAAGTTGGCCTCCATAATTCTACCGGCAAATTTAATGTCTTCAGACCCATTTCAGTAGTTCAGATATTTTATGTATATATATATATATATATAATATATGTGTGTGTGTTAATTTAGCCAAACTAGGCCTATTAAAATAACTTTTTTGGTTGTGGTAACTGCATAGTTAGATCTAGATAGTATATAGAACTATAAAAATATTAAAGAGCGAAATAAAAGTTTTGTTGTCTCACGGACAAGATTGAGGGCCAAGCTACTAGATCTAGCTAGAATCTATATCCAACACTAGACCTAGTCTATTTCCAACATGTTTAACTCTGCTAAAGTTGATCAGTCATGCTCAACTCCGATGACACCAAAGTAAGATGTCCTTTTTTTTTAATCTGTTGCTGTCCTAGTTTACCATTTGTTTACACACAAGTATTGTCCACACACATCGACACTGTCAACACGACTTAAAAATAAAATAAACCATGAATGTAGTTGTTCGTATTTTTATTTTTTATTATATTTTCGAATTGTTGGCATTATGCCATACCATTCATAAAATATGGTCTTTTTCTTAGCCAGCAAGAACAAAGAGAATTTATATTATCATAACAAAAAAACATAGGATTTTTTAAACAAACAGATTTTTTTTTCTGTTTCCAGCACACATCCAGACATAATCACAAACTACTGTCTGTAGCAGACCGCCCGAGTATGGCGTACTAATCTAGCGAGGAACACATACACGTCTGCTTCATACGGTGTAGACAGAAAAAGTCACTGAGCATGGAATATTGAAAGGCTTTAGGTCAAACAAAAAAATCATGAAATTTCCATTCAAATTAAACCTAAATTGAACTATAAATGACATTAGATTTAAAATGCCAACATTTTTAGCAAGAGATCTTGAAATAAAATGCTGAAGAAATAAAAAAAAAACAACAGCCAGACATCTTGTAAAAGAACAAGAAATGGTGTGTGCAGCCTCTTGGGCTCAGGATTGAAGAATGTTCAAATAAAAACTGGCTTAAAATTTGAACAGATTTTGATTTAAAAGAAAATATACTATGTATAAAAATATAGAAATCTTGATATAAATTTCAGGCAAATGAACTGAAGCATCACATTGAAGCACAATAATAAAAAAAAGTGAATTGTATATACAGTGTCAAGTAACCAACCAGCGGAACTTAAAATACATTTAAATACAATCTATCACATCCTATAGGAAACTCAACAAAAGTCTCGGTACAAATCTGAAACAAAGTTTGGCTACAAGCATTGAACACATAACCAAATTATGGCTTTTTTGATAACGGAAATTTGTTTACAACAGCAATTGTATGAAACAAGGTTTATTGACTTAAAAAATGTTAGCAGTTGTGGAAGGTAATGCTGCCTTACAACCATGTAAGTTTCCTCACAGTGCCATTAATGGAGGCCATCCTTATGTCTCATAGCAACTCAGTGAAGGGAGAAAGGTGGTACAATATTTAAATTAGGGGTAACTGTCACACAAGTATATGGCATGATCACATATGGTTCAAAATACAAGTTGTATGGCACAGATCACATACACATAGGTTACAAGAATGGTCAAACAAAGCCGCATGTAAGAGGAATTGTTTCATCACAGATACTGGTTCATCAAATATGTAACATGAGGTCAACAGAAGGGTTGTCAGTGGTTGGTGATTTTTTTAAGGGTTGTCAGTGGTTGGTGATTTTTTTTCAACTCCTTTTTTAATGAATGAGAAATATGCAGAGAGAGAAAGTGAGAAATATGCTGAAAGAAAGGGAAAGAAAAAGAGAAGATGCTATAGGAGCAAGAATGTTTAAATAATGGGTAATATCTAGTTATAGGGAAAAGATATTTGAATATCCAACTGTTACATTTGGGTACAACAAGCAATTATTCCAAGTACATATTACTTGAGTAAACTAATTACAGTCAGCTTTATTGAGTAAATTAATGACATTAAACCTTATTGAGTAAACAAAAGCCAGTAAGCCTTGTTTAAAATGTTCCCAAAGTCTAGCACCAAGTTATTTCTTATAAAAGGCGGCTACAATAGTCATAACGAGCTTGTGGTGGGGCAGTCAACAAATGAGGGTGAGCTAACAACCAGTGGGATGGTGCTGACTATACAGTCCAGGGGATCCACGGTGCTGGAGGACGAGGCAGACTGGCTGCTGATGGCGGTGCTGGACACAGTCTTGGCGTCTTTCTTGCTGCGTTGTTTCAGGTGCACTTTGGCGTGGCGCTTCTTCTCATCACTGCGAGCAAACTTGCGACCGCACACGTCACAGGAGAAAGGTTTTTCCCCAGTGTGTGTCCTTTTGTGTGTGGTCAGGTGATCGCTGCGGCTAAAGGAACGTCCACAAATTGGGCAGGGAAAAGGTTTTTGTCCTGTGTGAATACGAATATGTCTTGTTAGTTCATCACTCCTGGAAAATCTACGGTCACAGTTCTCTACGGGGCAGGGATAGGGGCGCTCATGGGGCGGGGTTTTGCTGGGACGGTTGGGATATTTCCGGGGCTTGACAGGGAGATACTTGACACAACTTTGCTGGTAGGGCTGGGAAAGCACTGAAGGTAATCCTTGTGTTCCAGAGGACTCAGAGACACCAGAGGCATAGTCCATGCTGGAGGATGACATGAAGAGACGCTCGTCCAACTGCTCCGTGTCTGGCTCTGTTTTTATTGTTGGCATCTGAAAGCTCATCCCTGAGGAGCTATGCACCATCTGCAAGGCTCCAAAGTCTGGCAACTGTGTCTGTGATGGTCCCATAGATGTCTGTGGCATGATTGTCATTGGCATTTGAAAAACATTCTCAGTAGGAAAGTCCAAGAAATTTTGTGGAACTTGTGGTGGCTGTGAACTGGTGTAGGTGGGAGGCTGCTTGAGGTTGATGTCCATTGGGAGGCTCATGGCCAGAGAGTAGGGAGGAGGGGGTGAGGAGAAGGTCTCTTCCTCTCCCTCCTCAGGCAGCATGGACATCTGTGGCTCAGGTGTGGAATGGCAGGAGCTGGTGGGTGAGGCAAAACCTGAGGAGTAGCGATCCTCCTGCTGGTAGCTGGCTTCTGCTGCTGCTCCCTGGGGGGACTGCATGCTGGGGGAAGAGGTAGATGCCTGGCTTTGACTTGTCTGCTCACTTGTAGGGGGGATTCGGATATTGAACTCGCACTGAGGGGGGAAACTGCCCATTGAACCAGCCTGGGATGTTCTCCCATGTAAAATGGCCAGAAACGGATTGAGGGCAGAGCTGCCAAAAAGTTGAGCGAGGTTGTGGTGAGCTGCATCAGCCTGAGTCGAACTCTGTGTGACAGCAGTTGTGACAAGAGTGCCTCTGTAGGTGATGGTGTTGGTCGTGCTGACGCTGCTGGCTTGCATGGACTGAAGCCTGGATGCCTGACCCCCATCGTTAGATCTCTCGGGAAAGTTCAAAGCTGCATGGATATTGGCTGGAGAAAAAAAAATCATAAAATAAGCACGCTTATTAAAGTCAAAAATCTTGCTACAAATAAAAGTAAAAACAAAAGACAGAATTGTCTGCGGGATATTTTAACATGGGCACAGAAAATTCTTCGCACCGCTTTGCAAGAGAGCAACGAAGGCAGCTGAGGTCATGAATATTTATTGCCCATTTCGGTATTGGGAAATCGATACCGACGCGTTATATCTTTATACATCTTTTTGTTCAACATTATGAAAGCTAAAGACTTGTCGAACAGAAGCCACCAAATTAGTTAGTGGCACTTTTAAATTTAAAAATCAAACAGATGTCGTTGCATACTTCAAACAGAAAATTTATACGTCATTCTCCCATTAGACGATTCTATTTTTAGACACCGTATCCCATTTTGGGAACAGCCTTTGACGTCACTGCGCGAACAGCTGATGGCTGACTAGAGAAAACGATTTGCGACCGAAACCGAATTATAAAATAAAAGTAAACAAGATGACTGTAAATACACCTACCGGTTGATATAATTGGAGGAGGTTCCAATGAATCTGGCCCAAAAAATGTGGTTTCAGAATATTTAGTCACAGGTGTATTTAATCCCTGATCGTCCAGTGCCTCTGAAATGTGTCTACTATGTCCTTGTGGAATATCGAAACTAAAACTTGGTACTCCCATATCGGCACCTAGGCCAAATGGAGTCAAAGCATCTAAACTGTCCATAATCATCACGAATTGTTTATCTCTCAGAAATAATTGTTGATTAATACACGTTAAAACCATACACCATTTGTCGTTATTCGCGGAAACTGATGTGTAGTATACACGTTTGTAAGACAGTGTGAACAGAGTGGCTCGAATTTTATGAATGAAGTCTGGCCTTTTATACCACAACTTATGAATGAACGCGACTGCAGCGCCATGCCCATATACGGCACAACCTCATTCAACGCAGCCAATCAGGAGCTCGCGTCGTATCCATTGACGTCAATGAAACGTACGCGTACGGCTGAGAAAGCCTATTGTTAAAATAGGTTATAGCGAGGCTTTTCGTTGTAGAAACTTGGAAGCAAATGTTATATACGCCCTGTTATAGAACAAGTATCTCTACCGCCTCTAAATATAATTAATTACTTGACATTTTTTTACTTTATCAAATCTATAATAGTAGGATCGTGTTCCTTGGTCGGCCTATGTGGAAATATAGCGTTTAATGAAATGACGGAAACTTCCATATTTGGAACAGGGGTAAATAGAATAAACGACCGTGTCTCTGACGTCATATGAAACGGGAAATAATCTACCCATATAAGGTAACTACGCTTCCGTTTTTTAATTTTCGGCAGAACTCGGAGATTCTCACGGATGTATCTAGAGCACTGCCCAACTGCAAGTAGTGGTTGGTTGGCGCGTAACCACATAAAGGTCACCCGCTGTGCCCGATTCCTCCAGCCGGCAGACCGCAGTGAATCATTGATTCAACTTTACGTCGAGGCTAATGCCCAACGGCCGCCGTACTGTCTTCCTACTTGGCCTAATTTCTGTGTACAAGCAACATTTCTCCCACTAGTAAAGTAGTAGCCCAAACCTCCCCCCCCTTTACTGGGTTATGTACGATCAAAGCGAGGCTCTTTCTTGTTCATGCTCTAGTGCAGGAAGATAAATAGCCAAGCATTTCTCGCTAGTTCGGTGTTGTAACTGTTACCAAGAATTCATGAGAAGCTTAACAATTTAATCTTTGAAATCGTGTTTTTCTTAATTATAAAAGACGATTTCTAAATTTAGCGAATTATTAGTCATGATTTGTTTTTTAATGAGTAGATTTCACTGGTTTAATTAAATTAGAAGCAATAGGGCAGAGTGAGAAGGTTACGTTGTATGATAATGTATGTATTGATGTCTGTACGTTGTATGATGGTGTATGTGTTGATGTCTGTATGATGGTGTATGTGTTGATGTCTGTACGTTGTATGATGGTGTATGTGTTGATTGTATGATGGTGTATGTGTTGATGTCTGTACGTTGTATGATGGTGTATGATGTCTGTACGTTGTATGATGGTGTATGTGTTGATGTCTGTGAGTTGTATGATGGTGTATGTGTTGATGTCTGTACGTTGTATGATGGTGTATGTGTTGATGTCTGTATGTTGTATGATGGTGTATGTGTTGATGTCTGTACGTTGTATGATGGTGTATGTGTTGATGTCTGTACGTTGTATGATGGTGTATGTGTTGATTGTATGATGGTGTATGTGTTGATGTCTGTACGTTGTATGATGGTGTATGTGTTGATTGTATGATGGTGTATGTGTTGATGTCTGTACGTTGTATGATGGTGTATGTGTTGATGTCTGTACGTTGTATGATGGTGTATGTGTTGATGTCTGTACGTTGTATGATGGTGTATGTGTTGATGTCTGTACGTTGTATGATGGTGTATGTGTTGATGTCTGTACGTTGTATGATGGTGTATGATGTCTGTACGTTGTATGATGGTGTATGTGTTGATGTCTGTACGTTGTATGATGGTGTATGATGTCTGTACGTTGTATGATGGTGTATGTGTTGATGTCTGTACGTTGTATGATGGTGTATGTGTTGATGTCTGTGAGTTGTATGATGGTGTATGTGTTGATGTCTGTACGTTGTATGATGGTGTATGTGTTGATGTCTGTGAGTTGTATGATGGTGTATGTGTTGATGTCTGTGAGTTGTATGATGGTGTATGTGTTGATGTCTGTACGTTGTATGATGGTGTATGATGTCTGTACGTTGTATGATGGTGTATGTGTTGATGTCTGTACGTTGTATGATGGTGTATGTGTTGATGTCTGTATGTTGTATGATGGTGTATGTGTTGATGTCTGTATGTTGTATGATGGTGTATGTGTTGATGTCTGTACGTTGTATGATGGTGTATGTGTTGATGTCTGTACGTTGTATGATGGTGTATGTGTTGATGTCTGTACGTTGTATGATGGTGTATGTGTTGATGTCTGTACGTTGTATGATGGTGTATGTGTTGATGTCTGTACGTTGTATGATGGTGTATGTGTTGATGTCTGTATGATGGTGTATGTGTTGATGTCTGTATGATGGTGTATGTGTTGATGTCTGTACCTTGTATGATAATGTATGTATTGATGTCTGTACGTTGTATGATGGTGTATGTGTTGATGTCTGTACGTTGTATGATGGTGTATGTGTTGATGTCTGTACGTTGTATGATGGTGTATGTGTTGATGTCTGTGAGTTGTATGATGGTGTATGTGTTGATGTCTGTACGTTGTATGATGGTGTATGATGTCTGTACGTTGTATGATGGTGTATGTATTGATGTCTGTGAGTTGTATGATGGTGTATGATGTCTGTACGTTGTATGATGGTGTATGTATTGATGTCTGTACGTTGTATGATGGTGTATGTGTTGATGTCTGTACGTTGTATGATGGTGTATGTGTTGATGTCTGTACGTTGTATGATGGTGTATGTGTTGATGTCTGTACGTTGTATGATGGTGTATGTGTTGATGTCTGTACGTTGTATGATTGTGTATGTGTTGATGTCTGTGAGTTGTATGATGGTGTATGTGTTGATGTCTGTGAGTTGTATGATGGTGTATGTGTTGATGTCTGTATGATGGTGTATGTGTTGATGTCTGTACGTTGTATGATGGTGTATGTGTTGATGTCTGTGAGTTGTATGATGGTGTATGTGTTGATGTCTGTACGTTGTATGATGGTGTATGTGTTGATGTCTGTACGTTGTATGATGGTGTATGTGTTGATATCTGTATGATGGTGTATATATTGATGTCTAAATAGAGCACTGTCTCCGCAGGTTGATGCAGCTCGTAGAGGTTTTTAAACTGCTACATTTTAAAAATGACACCACAGACAACCCCACTGACGTCACTAACCGACAACCCCACTGACATCACTAACTGACAACCCCACTGACATCACTAACTGACAACCACATGACAACCACTTACTAACACCACTGTCTACAAATTGAGAAAGCCAACACAAAGTGTCAGTGAGGAAAACATTTCTTTTAGCTCTGGCGAAGTACGAAATTTTCTGCTCAGTATTCACAAAATGCAGGTCGATCGGGGAGGGGGGGGGGGTGTAAGATTACAGGGGGGTGGCACACACACTGTAGAGCCCAGTCTTAAGGGGGGGGGGGGGTCTGCACACCCAGTGTGTGTGTGTTAGTGGGGTCTGGAGATATCATTCCATTGAAGCCATCGTGTGTCTGTAGAACCCAGTCACGTGGGGGTGGGTCTATAGATCAAATTACAGTCACTGGGGGGGGGGGGGGTATAAAGATCAAATTAGTCACTGGGGGGGGGTATATTGATCAAATTACAGTCACTGGGGGGGGGGGGGGTATAAAGATCAAATTAGTCACTGGGGGGGGGGGTATATTGATCAAATTACAGTCACTGGGGGGGGGGGGGGTCTATAGATCAAATAACAGTCACTGGGGGGGGGGGGGTATAAAGATCAAATTAGTCACTGGGGGGGGGGGTATATTGATCAAATTACAGTCACTGGGGGGGGGGGGGGGTCTATAGATCAAATAACAGTCACTGGGGGGGGGGGGGTATAAAGATCAAATTAGTCACTGGGGGGGGGGGGGTATATTGATCAAATTACAGTCACTGGGGGGGGGGGGGGGTCTATGGATCAAATTACAGTCACTGGGGGGGGGGGGTCTATGGATCAAATTACAGTCACTGGGGGGGTCTATGGATCAAATTACAGTCACTGGGGGGGGGGGGGGGGTCTATAGATCAAATTAGTCACTGGGGGGGGGGGTATAAAGATCAAATTACAGTCACTGGGGGGGGGGGGTCTATAGATCAAATTACAGTCACTGGGGGGGGGGGTCTATAGATCAAATTACAGTCACTGGGGGGGGGGGGGGTCTATAGATCAAATTACAGTCACTGGGGGGGGGGGGTCTATAGATCAAATTACAGTCACTGGGGGGGGGGGTCTATGGATCAAATTACAGTCACTGGGGGGGGGTCTATAGATCAAATTACAGTCACTGGGGGGGGGGGGGGTCTATAGATCAAATTACAGTCACTGGGGGGGGGGGGTCTATGGATCAAATTACAGTCACTGGGGGGGGGGGTCTATAGATCAAATTACAGTCACTGGGGGGGGGGTCTATGGATCAAATTACAGTCACTGGGGGGGGGGGGTCTATGGATCAAATTACAGTCACTGGGGGGGGGGGGGGTCTATAGATCAAATTACAGTCACTGGGGGGGGGGGTCTATAGATCAAATTACAGTCACTGGGGGGGGGGGGTCTATGGATCAAATTACAGTCACTGGGGGGGGGGGGGTCTATAGATCAAATTACAGTCACTGGGGGGGGGGGTCTATGGATCAAATTACAGTCACTGGGGGGGGGGTCTATAGATCAAATTACAGTCACTGGGGGGGGGGGGTCTATAGATCAAATTACAGTCACTGGGGGGGGGGGTCTATAGATCAAATTACAGTCACTGGGGGGGTATAAAGATCAAATTACAGTCACTGGGGGGGGGGGGTATAAAGATCAAATTACAGTCACTGGGGGGGGGGGGGGGGTCTATGGATCAAATTACAGTCACTGGGGGGGGGTCTATAGATCAAATTACAGTCACTGGGGGGGGGGGTATATAGATAAAATTACAGTCACTGGGGGGGGGGGGTCTATAGATCAAATTACAGTCACTGGGGGGGGGGGGGGTATAAAGATCAAATTACAGTCACTGGGGGGGGGGGGTATAAAGATCAAATTAGTCACTGGGGGGGGGGGTCTATGGATCAAATTACAGTCACTGGGGGGGTCTATAGATCAA